TGTTTGTAGCTCTCTGAAGTCAAGGAGGGGTGTTTGGTTGCCTGTTTTCCTCCGCAAGCAGCCGCGTCTCGTGCAGCGCTTTGGAGGCGCGCAGGTAGTGGAACGGATGCAGAGGGATGGTGTGTGAGACGCGTCGTGTGAGGAGGGTTCGTGGGCTGAGGACTCGGTAGCTGCTTGGTGAGCACCCACAGAATCCCAGGGGTTGGAAGGGACCTCGAAAGGTCATCCAGCCCAACCCCCCTGCCAGAGCAGGGTCACCCAGAGCACATCACACAGGAACACGTCCAGGCGGGGTTTGAATGTCTCCAGTGAAGGAGACTCCACAGCCTCTCTAGGCAGCCTGTTCCAGTGCTCTGAGTGTTCTCTGCTGTTGTGTCTCCTCCTCTGTGATGCAGTCCCATATTTACACCTGCACCAGCACAAGTGATGGCAGCGTGACCTGAGGGCTTCTGTGTCCTTCCTGACTGGTATTTTCTTGCATGTGCAGAAAACAATGTCAGAAAACTAGTTTTAGTCTTAAGTAGATGAATTTAAGCTGTTTAACTAGTAAAACAAGGTTTTGGGGAAAAAAGCTGCCCAATTAAGACTTTTTGTGTGTGTTGGAAAAAAGTACACTTTTGAAAATAGTTGCTTTTAGTACTTCTGGCACACAACAGGAGAAACCTAACAAAAAAACCCCACCGTATTGTTGCCAACATAGTTTTTTTCCTCCTGTTTGTTGTAATGGCTTGACTTAGTTAACTTCTTACTGTCTGCAGTTAACTAATTGCTATCTGGATGTGGAGCACTCCTGACTAGGTCTGTATCAGGGAGGCACAGGCAGCACTCACTGTGGCCTCTGGCTGATAGGGGCTGTTCCTCCTTCCCCATCCTCCCAGTAATGCAGTCCTGAGGGTTTGTAGCTCTCTGAAGTCAAGGAGGGGTGTTTGGTTGCCTGTTTTCCTCCGCAAGCAGCCGCGTCTCGTGCAGCGCTTTGGAGGCGCGCAGGTAGTGGAACGGATGCAGAGGGATGGTGTGTGAGACGCGTCGTGTGAGGAGGGTTCGTGGGCTGAGGACTCGGTAGCTGCTTGGTGAGCACCCACAGAATCCCAGGGGTTGGAAGGGACCTCGAAAGGTCATCCAGCCCAACCCCCCTGCCAGAGCAGGGTCACCCAGAGCACATCACACAGGAACACGTCCAGGCGGGGTTTGAATGTCTCCAGTGAAGGAGACTCCACAGCCTCTCTGGGCAGCCTGTTCCAGTGCTCTGAGTGTTCTCTGCTGTTGTGTCTCCTCCTCTGTGATGCAGTCCCATATTTACACCTGCACCAGCACAAGTGATGGCAGCGTGACCTGAGGGCTTCTGTGTCCTTCCTGACTGGTATTTTCTTGCATGTGCAGAAAACAATGTCAGAAAACTAGTTTTAGTCTTAAGTAGATGAATTTAAGCTGTTTAACTAGTAAAACAAGGTTTTGGGGAAAAAAGCTGCCCAATTAAGACTTTTTGTGTGTGTTGGAAAAAAGTACACTTTTGAAAATAGTTGCTTTTAGTACTTCTGGCACACAACAGGAGAAACCTAACAAAAAAACCCCACCGTATTGTTGCCAACATAGTTTTTTTCCTCCTGTTTGTTGTAATGGCTTGACTTAGTTAACTTCTTACTGTCTGCAGTTAACTAATTGCTATCTGGATGTGGAGCACTCCTGACTAGGTCTGTATCAGGGAGGCACAGGCAGCACTCACTGTGGCCTCTGGCTGATAGGGGCTGTTCCTCCTTCCCCATCCTCCCAGTAATGCAGTCCTGAGGGACCAGGGCAGGCTGCTCATGGAATTAGTCTCTCCAAAATGGCTTTTTGAGAAGTTTAATAACTGGGTACTTGGATATTTTATGCTCAGTGAACTCAAAACCTGGTTTTTCTGTTTTATTCCCAGTCCCTACATAATTTTCCCTCATCTTGGGTTGTTTGGTTTTTTGTGGTTTTCTTGGGGGGGGAGTTGTTTTGTTGGTGGGGTTTTGTTATTGTTTTTTAAGTGGATGTGAGGACTACTATGTGTCACTTAAAGCATTACCAAGCATAATGTTTCAGTTCTGAGTACCCATATAAGAACTTGCAATACACTCACTCTAATTTAGTCCCTTTTCCCAGTGCTTAAGTGCCAGTACCAAAGGTCATGACTTGGTGCCTTCTGGCTTTCTTGCTGCAGTTATTGCCCAAGAGACTTTCTGAATTTTCCTGCTGCTTTGGGTCTGCAGTTTGTTTATAAATAATTACTATTTTCCTGTCCTCAGATCTAGCCAAATTGTGTGTGATTACAAGAAAAATGTAGAATTTTTTTTCCTTCTTCCTGAAACATTTGGAATACCACTGAGAACAAGGGCCTGCTGGAAAGTTATTCATGGTGTGCCTTATTTCTTCAGCAGAGAAGTAACAATGTATTAGAGGGTCATCTTTACCATCTAACTAAGATTATTGATTTGAAAAATGTCCCGCTGCCCCAAGATGACAATTGATTTTTGAAAACTTCCCATATGAGGTTATGTTGTTTGATTCTGGGTTTGTTTTTTTTCCCCCACACTGTTTAGTCTTTGGTACCTCAGGAGGTCACCATATGCTACTAGCATGCAAATCCATCACTGCTTTGTCTTTTCATTGTTCCTTTTTCCATGCATGAGCAGGAAGGTGATACTGAACGCAGCAGTGCTATATTTTGGAAGGTAACAAATGTTCTCAGGCCTGTGAAGGTTACATAGAATCATAGAATCATCAAGGTTGGAAAAGAGCTTCAAGATCATCAAGTCCAACCCTCTGCCCTACAACCCCCAACCACTAAACCATCTCCACAAACACCATGTCCGTGTGTGTTTTGAACACCCCCAGGGATGGTGCCTCCATCATCTCCCTGGGCAGCCTGTTCCAATGTCTCACCACTCTTCCTGTGAAAAATTTTTTCCTAATTTTTCCAATCTGAACCTCCCCTGGTACAACTTGACCCCCTTTCCTCTTGTCCTATCACTAGTCAACAGGGCCAACACCCACCTCACCACAACCTCAGAGAGCAATGAGGTCTCCCCTCAGCCTCCTGCAGGCTGAAGAGTCCCAGCTCCTTCAGCCTTTCCTCGTAACACCTGTTCTCCAGACCCCTCATCAGCCTAGTTGCCCTTCTCTGCACCCTCTCCAGCACCTCAGTGTCCTTCCTAAACTGTCATGCCCAAACCTGGCCTTGGGCTGAGCTCACTACCATTAGGTAATACTGGTGTACTTAGCTCCTTGTGTGACTGCTAATCTTCTGCCTGTGTAATTATGAGGCTTTAGTGTGGCTGAAGGAAGGAAAGACTAAAGGGAGTACTCAGAAAGAAAGGGATTTAGTTAGCAGATGTAGCCTGGCTGCATTTCAGAACAGATTTTGTTATGGCTTTTCTATGTTTCACGATTTTGTAAACATGACAATGTGATGCTCCTCATGAGAGTTTCCAAGAGCAGAAACATGCTTGAATAATTTTTAATTACGTGAGAGAAAGCAAAGAGAAGAACAAAGAATTGGTGAGATATTTGAATCTGATGTTTGTGATGTAAAATTCTGTGATGCTTTTTCATAAACTTTATCAATTTTGACTCAATTATTTAGAAGTTGCCATTCTGAAACAGAATATTAAAAAACCCCTTTTTCTTAAAAACATAATTAATAGGAAGTGATTATTTAGACTGAAGCAAAGAACAATTGCCT